AGGACATGAAACCAGCCGTGATTACAAAATTGTTTCAGTTTTAGCATATACCAGTGACAATTGGAGAACCACTGAAGTCAACGAACTGACCAGTGACAGTTGGAGAACCACTGAAGACAACGAACTGACCAGTGACAGTTGGAAAACCACTGAAGACATCGAACTGAAATTGAATACATTGAAACAGAAACGCCTAAAGAATTTGATGAACAATAAATGGAATTAATGGTGCTTCCCCAATTCTATCTTCTCCACCCCCCCCCCCCCCACTTTCCACCCTTTCCCAGGATGACATTACAGTACAGGAGAGTCCATTATTGTCGAGGGTGGTAGAGCGGATTTCCCGGTTTTCGGATGCCTTTAACTACCGTAACACAACTAGAACTAGGCCTAACCCCAAACCACCCAGGTCTCACAGGAGAGTGTAGTCTAGGCCCCACGCCTGCCTGCATTCTAGGTCACACGACTGCATGCAGCCTATCTACAACCTCCTAAAATATTGGAATGCCTGTCTGGGGGGGAATATTGTGATAGAACCGAATTAATTCCCGACAGTTGTCAACAATCATAGAAGATGAGAATGTATTTATCACACCATGAGCAAGAAAAGGGGAGAGAACCATCAAACAAGAACAAACATGGGAAACAAATGTACTGAGGAGAGAAGACGTCCAAAGAGAAGCTCCGAGTCCAACTTTGGTTTGAGAAGCCAAAGTGGTTGGACTACATTCCATCCAAGATGTTGAGAGGATTGCACAAGTCAGGATAGAGGACTAGACTAGGAGCCATGTGTGATATAAAACCACACTACAGAGGGTAGTATTGAGGCTCAGTCTCTATGACAGTATCTGGGAATATTAGTTAGATAGCAGGCATCCTTCCTTTCTATGTCTCTGTTTATCCTTCTGTCAGTTCATCCACTACTCCGTCTGTCTGTCTCTGTATGGGGTTTCCCCCCCACCTACCCCCTTCCTGTAAGCCATATTTCTAAACGACGAAACAAAAAGTGGTTAAGCAAAATATTATACTCTGCTATATCCACAGCTGTCGGCTCTGTGGCTAAGTCGATGCCAACGCTTCGTAATGCCGGGATGCCGGGTTCGATCCCAACTGCGGACCATGCGCCTTGCGTTGGTTTCGACAGTGGTATCAAGGAAGCCGACCGTCCAGAAAGCAACGACAAACTACTAGACGTGAATTTACTGAGAAAAAACACAACAGCCAGGGGCTGTTGGGGTTGGTTCTGCAACATCCTGTAAAGGATACGCAACTAACTTATTTCCATAGCTATAGTCTTTCCCTCATCGTTCTAATCACCGACATTTTGCAACTCGCTTTATGAAGTCATCATTAGCGATTGTGTGTACCGTTAACGTTATTCCGTTGTGCTCGACTTCCTGTTTCGTTAGCGCTTGGGCAGGCATTGGCGATCACGACTCTAGACTCCTGCTCGTATGTGAAACTTTGAATCATATACATACACACACACACACACACACACACACACACATACACATATATATATATATATATATATATATATATATATATATATATATATATATATATATATATATATTAATATTGGGTTATGAGCTGAGAACTGACATCACAGCACTCAAAACATTCCCATTAGCGATGTGTCCTCATATTCAGCAGCCATCTATGAGTTCCAACACGCAGTGGCACTAGAAAAATAGTTATATGTCCGTCTTGCTTGACCCTGAGTGTAGAGTGTCGGCCAGATCTCCTGATGACCCCTAGCTGTACCATTCTTTCCAGACCAAAATGATCATTCCGTACCTCCATGTTGTTCACTTGGCTCACAAAGAGCCCGGACCACATCTAGCTTGCCATATATACAATCACCAAATATTGTGCATAACCAGCCAGTGGGTCTGTCTGTTCGTTTTCCAACACGCCTGCATACCCAAGAAAACCCCCCGATAAAATATTTAAAGAACGCTAACTAACCGTTACATCTGAAGCGATGCTTGCCACGAAACACAGGGCAGGCTTTCTTCGTCTTTCTCAACATGCTCTGGAAATCTGTTGCATTCACAACATCTAAGGGCAGCTGATTCTCAAGACAGTAGAAAGCTGCTGTGGCTGCTTTCACCTCCATTCTCAAACTAAATGTTGAAGTGGCAAAGGCTATACTTATATTTATATATATATATATATAACATCTAAAAGAATCTCTTTACCAAGAACAACAAGCAGCAGTCCGAGCAGCTGGCGAAACATCATATTGAATTGAGTTGCAGAGTAGAATGAGATAGGGCTGTAGTTCCCTCTCCATCACTTTTTAATATACTTGTCTATCCTGAAAATATCGTGAGAAATTCAATTAGTAAGGAGAACTGTGACAGTTTGGATCCACTCACAACTCGGGGAAAATATATCCCAGAACTTAGACATGCAGTCCACAGTTTTCCTTACCAAGCGAGAACACAGCTCAGAAAATTCTGGCCGTCAAAATGAGAATGAACAACAGAATCTGATTGTAATTCTAAAGAAAACAAAAATAACCGTTATTCACACAAAGAATACACTTACAAGCTTGTACTGAAATCGATAAAGTAGTGGTATAAACTGTAACTGTTTTTGAATATTTAGGTTCAACAACAAACAACAATGGCGACTAAACAAATACAGTTAGAAAAAGACTTACTTTAACAATGCAGAGGCTAAACATGAAAAACCGATTTCACAGCACATCCAAGAGAGTTACAGTAAACATTTGGACATCAAGCATATTCCCCGTGGCATATATAGAGTTGCGTTGCGGACGGCGACACAGGCGCAGAGTTTCTTATCAGCTGTCTGTACTGGTGGCAGAGCACTTATGGTTTATTACCGTGTACAATGACGCTGGTTCACATCTCCCGACTTTACCTTTACCTTTACACAGTAGCAGAGCACGTAACAATATGGCTAAACACAAGATTGAGTGGACATTTTCCAAGAAAGTCCAGATCAAGGTGAAAGTACCTAATTTTCAACATAACGCTATTTTTCAATATCCAACATACCTTCATCTGAATAGTTCTACTCTTATCAGATTTTAAATGTAAATTATTTTATTTTCTTTTGTTTTGTTTCATATTATTACTTTATTCTATTTCTTATCAGTATCATTTATGTATCATTAACATGTGTATTTCTTTTATTCCCTGTATTATATTATTTATTAACAATACTACTGTTTATTACTTTTTGTGACTATATTTTTTAGCCATCGTTTATTCTATTTTATTTCCTTTTTTCCACACCACATTTTTTTAAACGTTGCTCACGTCACCCCTTAGAGATCTACATACTCTCCTCTCCTCGTTGTTACGTTTGTGTAGTTCACTTATGTTTGAAAAGGCTGCCCGGCTAAAACGTTACGTTGTGTTGTTTTGTGCACGTTTTTCTGCTTCCCCATTTTGTTGAGCGTTTTTAGTCAAATTTCTCTGGAATTCCTTGACTGTTAGCATGAGCTCGCTAGGAATTGTGACTTGCAAATTAGTAATTACACACTGAATAGGTGGCTGTTAGAACTGACGAAATAAGTGGTAACAAAAGAAGGGAAATCCCGCTTTATGACAGCAAAACCACCATGTGTTTGGGCTTTGACTTCTCTGTTGATATGTATACTGTTACAAGAGACATTGCGAGTTGTCTATTTCAATTACAGCATTGTTATTTCAGGTGTTATTTATATGTTGATGTAAATGCAAATTTCACCTGATGAGATAATCGAAATATTATCATCATACTTCTTGTGACGTTAGGCACCACATAAGGCTCGCAGTTGACTCCAGCACTTGGCTCTGTTGCATGCAACTCTCTCGATTTCTGACATAGAGTTCATTACAGCATATCTAACTTCTCGTTATAATGTTCTTCTTAAGTTTTTCTTGGACGTACTCTGTTTTTTTATTTTTTTATTTCTCTGACCGTTTAAGCGAAATATTTCAGGCAATAAATTGTGCAATACATTATTTGTGTTCTCTTTATCATTACATTGTAAAACCATCTTCGCTGCCCTTAACTGTCCACACACACACAAAACCAACAACAAAATAGTAAATGATGAAAACAAAAGATGTATTCAATAGTTGCTTCAACTAAACAGAAAAAAAAAGTAAAGAACGACATTGTACCTCATTGGCATTCAATTTCTTCAACCACCTAATACAGATAACTGGCAAAACAAGATATTTTTTTAGCATCTGGGGATTTGAAACTGTGTTCGTTTTAACAATCAATAGTTTATTTACTAACAAATCAACTATTGGATTGTTTAAAAAAAAAAATTGACAAGCTTAATTACAGATATTATTTCAAGAGTTACCTTAATCCAAAAATGAGAGATGAAAATATTGATAGGTATGCTTTACACTGAGATAAACAGTTACAATTATACCACTTTTTTGTCTTAAAATAATATTACACTAACTTATTTCTTGACGATAAGTTTGACTGATCTGGTAATCTGGTAATCCTAGTTTCAGCTTCCTAGCAAACGGGTCACCCCACATATGCTCCGCTCCTTTGACTGAAGTTAGGTTCATGCCAGGAAATGAATTGATTAGATTAGTAGGTGTTTGACTGAGGGAAATATTGTCACGTTTGACCAGCATCCCCGAAGGGAGAGCTTTAGGTTATAATTGTGACTAGGTTATGTGAGACAAATGAAATGACTAAGCTCTGCCCGCCACCAAGAGAACATGAGGCCTGCTGTATTGATGCGATCCAAAGAGACAGATTCAAATACTTCCTGACCGGGAATGAAGTCGTCAGCTGGAGAGCAAATGGACAACCCGGTCGCGGATGAATGAATTGCCTAATGTAAACTGATTACTAAACATGACTTGGGGAATTTCCTTTCTGTTCATTTTCACTATGTGACTCTCACGGATTTGGCTTATAATTCTCGTGGGGTTTTTTCTTCTTATTTTTTGGATGAAGACCTTGGTTGAAGCTCTAGGTTGAACATATGCCACTGAGAGTTAATTATCAATATTATCTAGGTACGGTGAATTGTTCAAGAGGTCGGCTTGAGCTAAGACGTGAGGCAGGACGTCTGAACGTTTACCAAACCGGAAGAGGGTCCTCTTATCAAGCTGAGCATCGTCCTCAAGATCCTGGGCAGTCCCACTGCGGCCAAACCGGAACAGGCTCCCTCCTCGCTTGCCAAACCGGAACAGGCTGCCTTGTCTTTTTCCGAATCTGAAGAGTGAACCTCTTTTTCCGAATCTGAAGAGACTTCCCTGACGTTTACCGAATCTGAAGAGGCTCCCTTGCCGTTTGCCGAATCGGAACAGACCGCCTCGCTTATCTGTGTCTTCCGGATCATAGGGTGAGTCTAACTGATCGTCAGAAACTTCTACGGCATTCTCCTCGTCAAGAGAGGGGATCACCGGTGACCGTTTGTCTACGCTGTGCTGTGAAATGGCTGTTGAGGCTGTCAACTGATTTTGGTCCAGAGTCTGTAAGATAAAATGTACACCATTATGTAGTTTGATTATGATTAGTGAAGAGCATGCAAAATCGAGTTTGTGTAGTCTCTAATAGCAGCATCAGTAGTAGTAGTAGTAGTAACTGCAGCTGCAGTAAGGCAATAGTGATATAAAAGAGATAACGATAAATACAGTGTGTGCATGAAACGATGTAGAAAATAAGAAAGACAACACCAAGAAACTGACTGCTCCTCCCTTCCAGCCTGCAGATTAAGGTTTTATTCTACTACAAATCAAAAAGTCGCACTGTGGGTGTGAATTCACTAGGACAAACCCAACACCCAAATACTCCCTAAGAGATTATTTTGAGGGCACACCTAACAGCCAAACTAAGTTCCATCCTTTGTTTGCCAGGTCTATTACCACAACACTGGCTATCATAGTGACTCTAGAAAAACATCTCAAACGTCAATTCAAGGTTTATTTTATTTGGTTGGGTTAATAAGTGATCCATCGGACCCTTTTATTCTTATTTCTGCAACCTTACTGAAAAACCTGGCCTTGCCGGTAATTCGTGTCTTAGGTGATTTTTTTCAAGCAACTTTGTACCAGCCTGGACGACATCGATGAACGGCGACTTCTCGGTCTGCTGGTCCGGTTATCTAGCCCTAGACCAGGGGTGGACAAAGTGTTTTTGATCCTCTTACCAAACTTAGAATTACCATCATGGTAGCGGGCTACATAGATTAAAATCCATTATGAACGTAACATCTAGAATTCTATGAAAATGGATATTTTTGTGAGCCAATCTAAGATTATAATCCTCTGCTACATCTCTAGCCGGAAAGACTCACACACTGAAACACTTCTGTATATTCATAAATGTTTTTGTTCAAGCTGGCGACAAAAGTGTCTAGTTATCACTGTTTACGTTATCACCTTTTTTGGGGGAAGGGGGGGGGGGGGGGGGAGTTGGTGGGGTGCGATGTTGATATCTGTATGTTTTCTCTTTTCTAAAAAACAACGTATACTTTTGTGTTCTGCTATATTCTAAACGCAAGGGCCAGATTACATAATAGTTTTACATCAGCCCTTCGGGCCAGTAAACGTTGCTCGGCGGGCCATCCTTGCTCTAGACTAGACACCCAACAGTGACTACATCTTCTCCCTGCTGATGGATGGGCAGTGTCTTTGCTGTTGGTTGGCCTCATAGTAGTAGCTTGTACAATAATGTCTTTAGGCTAGAAGACGCGGTGACATAGATCTAACGGCAGACGACAAAGATACGGTGACATAGATATAAAGGCAGATG